GCAGCGGTTTGTAGCTGTTCCAATGTAATCCTAAATTTCATCGTCACACTGCCTACCTCTCGAGAAGCGTCGACAATAGTAAGCAATAGACAGTTGTGATAAATGTTTGTATTGTATGCAATGTAACCATTTTTTTATCAATGTCGCGAATTTTGTGCATATTCTGAGTGGTGCATTTTCAGCGTCTTCTGTGATTTTTGTAAGCAGCTGAAGGCACAGTCGGCGAACATTTCCGCGACGAAGCAGTTTTCTGCACATAAAAGCATTGGAGATGACTGCAAGTTAGTACTTTTCGCTTAGAATCATTGTTCCTGTGTGTATGTCTAGTGTGTGCCTTGTGCTCAAATTGTCGAGCCATGAACAGTTTCTTATCTGACTCCTCAGGAAATCTTGCACATCTTCAATCCCATCTATCCACTCATTCAAAAGTGATTTTTATGAAAAGCTGTTCGTAAATATTTCCGTATTTTTCGTGTGTTTCGACTCCTTGTCCAACCGAACTCGGCCTCAGGGACACGACTTGTATTAAAGGATTGCTTGATGAAACACACAGACCTGCATCTAGTGGTGGTAGTGGGAGGGGAGGGACAGTTATCTTTTCAAAGGAATCCTTCCTGGAAAAATCATGATTCTATTTCACCCATAAATCACTGGCTTGAGACCCATCGTTCACGATAAGAACGAAAAGAACAAAAATTGCATTTGTTTTGGTAAAAATTCGAAAAACCGGAAGGACTGCTACGCGTTCAAATTCCCGCCGGACATCTGTCACAAATGCTGGCGGCGGGAACGCTTCCACTTGGTTCTCGGAGTGCCGTCACTAGAAACTCTTTCTGACCTTTTGACTTATTGCATAACATCTCACACTTCTACTGCATCCTATTCTATCGATCGTTTTGTCTCTATCTCCAAATCGCACGCTTTAACCCGATTCTTTCAATGCGTCGCCTGATACGTGGGCCGCCCAAGGCGCACTTCTTTCCATGCCCCGCCTTTGGCGCCGCGCGACCTACCTTCGACCGTCCATAGTGTGGTTTTCGTAAGTTTGTTTCTCTTCGGAAACTGAATCTTCGTGCGTGAAACTTTGTATGTTTTTTCTAGTGATCACAACTGACATATTCATGTTGGAATAGAATGCAAAAATTTTCTGGGGAGAATGCCTTAATTAGGTGGGCAATGTACAATGATTCCTGCTGTAAAACGTCGCAGATGAGCCTAATGGTAATGCACATACAGCATCGCTTCAAACACGCGCGAACCTGCTAACGCTAACGTCTAACGAGCAAGGCTCTGGTTAGGATGTGTCGGACGTGGAGCAAGAGGTTTGCGCACTTTCCTGAAAGACTATGACCGCAAAAACATTGGGGCACAGAATGGTCAGAAGGACACGCGCGACAAGCTTCTTGAGGGATTCTGCTACGCCTCTGGCTACTAGTTCTTCACAGTAGACGATCAAGCGTTGTAAATAGACGCTCGAAGTGTCTGCCCATTTGGAAGACCAATGAACGAGAACTGTAATACTGTGGTCATGAGGTAGCTGCAAATACAGCGTGGACTACAATGGTCGCCGCCAATTCTAAGCACTCCGCTTGCTAAGACCCGCTATAATTGTCCTGTTTAGTTGGCAAAACTGTTATATAACGCTCTGCGTGACACATAGGCAGTTTGCTATGACGACTACGCAATTATCGGTGAACTGTCCGTTTACAGGACACCTCGTAAGAAATGCAACCATCCCCTCGATGTGCCGCCATCACATCTCGTGGCCCAAGCAAGTTAAGAGCACATCTACGACAGGGCAGTGAGAAGGATTGTGGCTCAATACAGGAAGCAAGGACACTATCTATCTAATCCTTTTAGCCTTAGCGCCTGTCCCTTTGTTTCTTTGTAGTGTCAGTAAATACAATTCTTCTTATCTTGAGAACTTGTTTAATTCAGCAGGAGAAGCACGTCACAGGTAACCATTAAGGGATGTCGAAGCGTGGAATATTGACGTCTTTGATTGTTCGTAATAACGAAGAGAGAACTATCGCTATTCCTAAGTGTCCAACTCTGACGTCCTAGCATGACCCATTACGGTGGGTAACCTAACATTGATCGGGATGCTCGAAAAATCCATTGATCATAGTAGTGCAGAATTTGAGACAATCTCTTGAGTGAAGTTCTGCTTCTTCTATCCTCGAGAGACACCCTCCGCGTTAGCCAGCCGAGGCTGTTGCCACTCCCACGCCACGATGAGGCCACGGATAGGATTTGTGGGAGATAAGTGTAAAAGAAATCGTCCGCCGAAAAATTCTTGCATCCTTTCCCAACATGGATATGTCAGTTGTGGTAAAAAGACAACGTGACAGTCTCACGCGAAGAGATTCCAGTTTACGAAGAGGAACAAACTTACGACGAACCACACTCTGTGGAAATGGCCCAGTTGTAAAGAGGGCCAGACAACAAGAGAACGCATCGAAACAACGCACCCTTGGGGCGGCTTCGTAAACAAGCGCCATCGAAGGAGCGGGATGAGCATTGAATTTGTAGAATAACACAATACCTCGATAGAATAGAGACTCATGATAGAAAGGAGATAGGGCCAAAAAGAAGTGTATTCCTAGTGAGAATCCGAGAACCAAGTGCAATGGTGGGCCGTTTTGCCCAACATTTGTGAGCACGATTACGCGGAATTGCTGAAACGCGTAAGAGTCCTTTGAGTTCTTCGAATTGTTTACGGAAACAAAACCAATTTTTTTGTTCTCACGCTCTTATCGTGAAATGATGTCTCAAGATATTAGGTTAGATAGAATCATTTTCCCTAGACGAATCCTTTAGTGAACATCAGATACGTCTGTAATATTCAGCCGGGGACCAAGTTATGAAATAAAGGGGGAATCTCCAAAATCTAAGGGATTCGTGGATTGTAATCAGACACGTATCAAAACGAGGATCGAGAATGCGAGCCGCATAATCCATCGCATAATCATTTAACTTCATGTAAAACAAACTCCAAATTCTAGATGTGATGAAATGCTGCCTGGCTTATACGACATCGAAACAGAGATGTGCACACCTGAAATTGAAGATGTCAAAGATTACATTCCACCTGAGATCCAAGCCAACATCCTCGACAAGAAACCTGTGAGTCAAGTAATTACTGTAACGTTGTTTAGGCTCTCTGGGTATTGTACGAATTGTGCTGGTGGTGAAAGGATCGAACGTGATTTCAGATTTCTATGTTCATAACTGTATACCTTATGGATCTCGAGCCAAGAAACGAATCCTACCTTTCGGCTTTTGGTAGAGCCATTCTCCAAAGGAGGTGTGTTTTAATTTAAAGAATGTTTTCACGATATCCTTGTTATTGTAGCCTATTGATACCCAATATCACAATTGGTACGCCCGGCCAGTGCTGAAAGGAACTTAAAGCCACGTGTCGGGCTTAGGTCCCAAGAGCCAGTCTCTTCTAGGATGAGAAAGAGAGGTCCTCAAAAGAGTGGTCTCTGCGCCCTCTCGCGTACGACGTACTATCTCGCGTTCTCCCTCTCCTCGCAGCGCTGTGTCTCTCCGTCATACCACGGCCGGCCTCATAAGGGAAATTTAGCGTTTTCTATGGTGCTTTTCGCTTACCGTATGAAGAACTGCCGCTATAGCAAAGACTATAAAGTTTCTCTTCCTGCACAATTATAGATGTTGATAAGGGTGTCCCCTCTCGAAAAAAAGTTTGTCAATTTTGCTAGTACCTTTGACGACTATGGGTGATACACATGTGCACCTACAGTGGCCAGAGAGTTATAAGCGGAGATAGCGATGGAAAAGCAGCCCATTAGAAATCAACGTAGAGGTAGTAAGTGGTGCAAGGAGGAAGAAAATCATGACAAAACCCAAAAAGAACCCCAGAACTCGAAAAATGGAAGAAATGGAGAAACGGACCCCTTGTCTGCCCGTAGATTCCCGCGCTGATACCAATTTCATCGGTGCGCTAACGTTCTGCGCTGAATGGCTAGAGTCAGACCGTGAGAGGGTGGGCGTGCGCGTGCTGTGCACGGACGTGTGCCTTATTTAACATGGCCGCGAATGCTTAGTTCGCAGCGAATACGCCGCAATCTTATATGGGACAAACCTGATTGATATGGCATAACTCATCTCTTCACATCAAGACCTGATCGCTGGATACCTACTTTACTATACTTACTAGGCAACACGACACGACCGTTTCAGAATGGCTCAAGCACAGTTGCATGCTTCCTTCTTGGAATTGATGTCAAAGTTGCTCTACCTCAATACAACTAAATCGAGAGCTTCATACATGTCGGCAAATATTCATATGTGTTCAATAAGTTTTCGCACATTGATGATTCGGCTGTTGATCAGCAGTGGTGTTGTATGTGTAATCAAGTCTTTCAATGTGGTCGTTGGTTACTTGTTAGCAATGTATTATGTTCTTGACGATATATTCTATGTAATATATTATTATAGTTACATATCTACTGAAAGCAGAAGTCATAATAGTTTTTCATTTAATCTCTATCAGTAGGATTTTCAGTGCTAATTCATTAAATCTAATTCTTCTGTGATTTTTGCTTGGAATTTGCTTTGTTGAACTATCGGAAACGAATCTCACATTTCAATGAAGAGTACTTTTGCGAAGTTTAGGGCAAGAGAACTGAATTCGGGTATCAGCTTCTGACACACCCTTCTGAGGCTGAATGCATGGCGCATTCGCGCAGACACGACTGTGCGACCAGGGTACACCTTCATGATCGCCTATTCAAGATTTTATGACCACTCTGGATGGATCCCCATCTATAAGACTCCTACTAAGAATCGATGGTTACGATAGCGTATCGATGCAGTCATCTGCACATTCTGATTCGCCACCAAAATCCTTCTGAAATGGCATCGAACGGAGGTGAGGAAGAGCGCGGAAAGTACACCGTGCCTGAAACAGCAAGTTCCACGCATCTACGTTCATTTCTGTGTATTTCTTCCAACACCGCCACACTCCCCTCCATCTAGGGGTAGTCCTCCAAGAGGCCCGCCGCGCGGCGAAGGAAGAGACGCAGATGCGGCAAAGGACGAGTCGCAGCGCGTGCTGCGATATGAGACGTAGTATGGTACACTCTATTTAACCTGACGCCTAACCGCTACAGTATGCGCTGCGACTCGTCCTTTGCCGCGTCTGCGTCTCTTCCTTCGCCGCGCGGTGGGCCTCTTGGGGGACACCCCCATCTAGGAGTCTCGAATGTGACCCATCACCCAAGAATCAGAAAAAACGCACCATCTCACTCGATGGGAATTTTAGCATATGGTTGACTCTACATGAGAGCACGGAGCGCCATACTTGAGGCATACTGTGCTCCAGCAGTGCTCGTCACATAAGTTTCTCCAGAGAGGTTCCAAACATGCTTGGTTGGGACATGGGACCCGTGTTCGTTTATGTGTTAGTAAGTATGGTATGCAGGCAAATGTCGAACCAGGAAAGCCTTCCAGGACGTGAATTGCTTTTTCAAAACCTTTTGTTGTTTGTTATGGGGCACGTGAATGGAGCATAAAACTGGAGAAAATTTCTTGAGCGGGTCTGGGGACGCCAAATAATGTGGGAATAATGGCTTCTGGTTCGGTCCCCATTGAAGACAAATTTTTCCATTCTCTGGTTTCCACTTTTTGCGCTCTTTCGTAGCTGATCTGATTCACTAAACAGGAAACCTACCGTAACTATTGTACATAATCAGCTCTACAAATGCTGTGTGTATATTAAAAATGTAAAAGTTTCACTTCCTGGGGAAAGTTTTCTGCCTTGCTCTGGCACTCCCACGGCCGAAAAAATATGCCGTCAAGCTGGCAACGTTCACAAGAATGCTGGGTTGTGAACAAAACTTTCGCCCAGACGGGACTCGAACCCGCACCCTCTGCTTCCCGCGCTACCAGTTACGCTACCGGGGCACCATTTCATTCCAACTCAGCTTTTCATGGTATACGTACCATAGGCTTTCAGCTCACGTCTAACGTGTTGAGCCGGTTAGCCGATATCGGCAATGACCGCGAGGCTGAAAGCTTTAGCAATGAATTTTGACTTGTTTTTGTTTGTTAACTGCTGTTTTTCGCCGCAGTTCGCCTTGCTGGCAATGATGTTCTATATTAACTTACTAGGACTACTATTTCAGAAAAGATGTGCACAAACAACAGCGAAGGGGAAAGTTCTGAGATCACACTCCTCAACACCTCTTTAGCATATTCTCCACACGTAGGTGCAAACCCTGTTCGCTGCCCTCGTCGTCTTCAGAATATGACGTCATCTGCAATCACCGTCGAGCTCAGGGGGTCTTCCGTAATTGCTCTATCCTGAAGCAGCTAAACAATTTCTTCAACAGGTTACTTTATGAATAGCTTTCTAGAGAAAGTAGCTCTGACTGTGCAAAACCCCTTTCTGCCACATTTTCAGATAAGGT